GTCTTCAAATCAAGTATCAATGCTATCCGCTCTGTGCACAGGGTAGATAGGGATGGGCAACTTAGACATTGGCTACCTGAAATGAGGGGGCAATAGAGGCACGAAGAGACTGGCTTACAAGGTTTCAAGAGGGAGCTTAGTTAAGAGTGTGGGGGAAAGAAAGAGTCCCCACTGAATAGCTGTCGTCTTGTCTAGATGGGTCTGGTGAAAGGAGATGGGGATAAGATACCTAAGATTCAATAGTGAATAACTGTTATCATGACTAATCGCGACTATCAAGATTGTAAAGGTAGAAGTTTTGTAACAAAAAAAGGGGGAATGGTTAATGTTACAGTCCAGAAACAGAGGACCCTAGGACCATCAAGAGAGGAACGCACAAATAGAATATGGGACCTTATCCAGAGAAGCAGCAGCGCCAACGAAGGAGGCAGAGATGAGGGCATGGAGAGGGGGAACAGCTGAGGACTCTAGATTCATGGACTAAGAAGAGAAAGACTAAGAGCTGGTGGCCAGGAGCCTTACAGAATGTGCCCTTTGGAGATGTAAATTATTATATATGCCTGAAAAAAAAAAAAGAGGGCAAGGCAAGGCTGTGAACTATGGCAGAGAGAGTAGGGATGAAAACAGGAGGATAGATTCGAGAGGGTTTGCGAAGTCATATATTTGTCAGGATCTGCTGGTCCATTGTGAAGAGTGGGGAGGACGAAGGAGGCCTGGGCCTTACAGATAACAATAGCTGATGTTGTTGTTGTTAAGTACCATTGAGTCAGTTTTGACTCATAGCAACCCTGTTTAGGGTTTCTAAGGAGCAACTGGTGGGTTTGAACCGCTGACCTTATGGTTAGCAGTCCAGTGCTTACCCTACAGCTCCACACCAGGACTCCAAAAAGTGACCTATAGAGTGTTTTTTAAATGTTTTTAGAACTAATTGCTGACCTTTTGAAAATCTAAAGATTTTACATTAAAACGTGGGTTTCTGGCTTTTCTTGAAAAATCAGAGCTGGCCACATAGCCCAGATTGCACCCAGAGCTGTGTACCTGGATTTTCTTCAACTGGGTCTGTGCTTTCCAGTTGGCCAGAGCCCCACCAACCTATCTGAGGTCCTGCCACCTGCGAGCTCCTGAACTTCATCTCTGCTGTCCCCCCATCAGGTATGCGTCAGTTTGATGGCCACTGTGCACTGGTGCATTTGAATTTGTGTCCAGTCCAGGCCTCTGTCCATGACTAAAATACCTTTCTTGAACTTTAAGGACATAAGATAGAAGCAACACGGCATTGTGTCCTGACTTTTTCCCTTCATGCTGTGGGAAGTGAGGAAGACAGACTGCCCACCCAGGTTTGAGTGTCTGTGGGGGTGGGTGCAGAACAAAGGTGAATGGTCAGTACTTCCTATGACCAGTCCACACGAGAAGGAAATAGAAAACGCACCATAGAAAATGACCCAAGTATGACCCAAAAATGACCTAAGTATAACCCAAAAATGACCCAAGTATGACCCAAAA